AACATTTGTCTGAAATAATATAGGGCTTCCTACTTGAGCAGGGGGTTGGACTAGAAGACCTCCAAGCTCCTTCCCAACTCTGTTCTTCTGTTACTTTTCCCTCTGTGATGTTTCTCAGTTAACAACTAAAGGCATTCATTGCGTCAATGAAAACTACTCAAACTAGACAGACTTCTATAATCATGTCTTATCTGTGCTCAGCTAAGCGGACATTTTGTTTTGCTCTATCTAATTAAGAGAAAAAATTGTTCTGCTTTCAGTAAATTATTCTCTTGGAATGGAATCATTGCTGGTATATTTATAGGATTATATCCTACTGGTCAGATTCTCAGATTTTTTCCACTTTATTAACACTTCATTTTGTTGGAATAAATTATCCAGGCAGATCAGAGTTAGATTACTGTCTAAATTATGAGACAAAATATAATTACTATGCTATGTAGAGTAAAAATGTATTTATAAAAGCCAAGATAAAAGTATGGGCCCTTAATACATAGAACCATTTAATATTCTTACCAATTCAGAGGTTTCCCTGATCAGTATATGTTCATTGCCTCATACCTGTGCTAGATCTCAGACAATTAAGAGATGGAAGGGCATACAAAACCCCCACGCAAGAATAATACATAGCAAATCTTACAATGTCTCAAGCTTCAAATCCTTCAGATGGAAGAACTTCTAAGTGTTTCCTTTCAGTTTGAAAGGCAAGCAGAGACTATAAAAGAGTTTTAGGGAATATATACAGCAATATCATATCCACCCAAATAATAATTATACACTGCTTTTAAGCCTTTTTATGTAGGACAAATCTGATTCCAAGACCAACATCCTTGCCACTATTAGTCTGTAGTTTATATCCCTGCCTGTTGCTGATTACTCACCATCCCTTTTCCCTGAATAAGTCTTTCTTCCCTGAAAGCAATAAATTAAATCTTTTCTGATGGTTTGACTTTCACACCATGTGCTGCTTTTCTTATTTATAGCACATTTTGCTTCAAGCAAGTGATAGAAATCAAAGAACCACATTAGAAACAACATTCACCACCAGAAATATTTCTATTGATGTTTTTATCCTTCAGTCGCTTGAGGCTGTAACCAAGAGAACCAAGTTGCCCGAATGCATGTGGGAGAAATTCTTCTTGGACTGAAGAATGGCAACAATTTTAGGAGACCAACTGGATTCATTTGAGAAGCAGTTTTTACAAATTCATCCTTTGCCCTGAAGTCCTCAGCTCTCCTGCAAGGCTGGACTGAAGACTTCAAGCTTGAACAGCTGCTTTGAGTGATTCATAATCAAAATAAAACATGCATGTTTAGTGAGTTTGGAACTAGCTAGGCTGGTTTGGTCTGAATATGAAAGAATACCCTGAGTAGAATTGTTTTTAAGTGTTCTGTGCTATTTTAGGTGATTTGATTGGAAGGTTCCTTGTCTCTTGCATCTGAGTGTTCCTTTTTTACTCCCCGCCCCCGGGCTACTACAGTAAGGACAGGACACATCTTTGTTGTTACTGACTTAGGCTGGAGAGGGCGGGGAAAATGTTCTGGAGTTAAACAGAAGGCATTTAAGGAATGCCTGGTACAATGAAGGAGACCTTTTGGCTCTGATTATTTTTCACCAGACATCATGCCATTGTTTGACTACCTAGCAAGGTAAATCTCTGATCCTCTGCTGAAGCTGGATTTCACATGTGTCCATGTAGTTCCATTCTGCTCAAATCCAGGAGAGAATCATATCGGCATAAATTATGCTACCCTCAAAGTGATCCTCAACACACTTTGCTATGTTGTGCTTCTGTCCATAGTTCCATCACACAACCCTGTGAAAACAGTGATTGATAGCTTTTTCAGGAAAAATTAAGGAACCTTACTAACTGGGAAAGAAATCACCATTAACAGTTATACAGAATTTGTGTTAGGATAGTCTTGTTAGATATACAAGCTCTGTCCAATTTTTATTTCGATTGTTTTGCTCCTCAAAGACTGTTGATCTGTCAACCTAAGGTCCCTAGAGAGCAGAATGTTTGTCTCTCTTAAAAACCATGTATGTTTGCCTAGATTTGCATAAATGATTTTGGAAGTAGGAGTTCAAGAAACAAAACTGTCGAGATATATATGTGTTTGTGTTTGTGTGTGTGTGTATATGTATATGTATATGTATATGTATATGTATATGTATATGTATGGTATTCAGCTTATACAGAAGCTGAATACACAATACAGAAGCCTGATGATGGCAAATGAGATTCTTCCGAAATGTTGCTACAACTTTAAAATCACAACTATAATGACATGGGAAAATACCCGAACAAAGCTGAATACCATACATGTAAGTACCCATGAAAACTTACGTGTTTCTCACATAATAAGGCTGGGTCTTATTTTTTTTTGAGCTCTGAAAAAATGGCTAGACACTCTCTCGGCTCTTCTCACGCCCACCCAGCCGCTTGGGATTAAACCAAAACGCAGTGCGCGGCACTCCCAGGTACCTCAAAATGTTTTTTTTTCCTGTTGTTACAGGGACGGATGAGAAGCGGGAGTGACTCAGACACTGTTGTTGGAGACAGTGCTGGCGAGAGAGGCGCCAGCACCGGTGGGAATTGTGGAAGCTATGGAGGCCTGAGAAGCAGCTGAAATGCTGCCAGACATCCATGCTGACACCGCCCGCCTGCTGACCCAGGTCTGCAGCAAAGGCACTTGGTGGAGGTAAGGGAGCCCTCTGTGCTCCACCATGATTGGCTGTTAGGAGCGGCTGATGGTGAGGCGTAGCTGCCCGTGGGGCACTCCTAATGGCAAGTTTCCCCCCCCCCCCGCCTTCCCCTCCTCAATTTTGCATGTTTTAAACTAGGCCTAAATTTGGGGGAGGGCTTAATTTCATTTTATGCCTAGAAAACATGCTGGGTCATCCTATTGGGCGGGGCCATGTTATTGGAGAAACACGGTATATATGTATGTGTATGTGTTTGTGTGGATAGATAGATAGATAGATAGATAGATAGATAGATAGATAGATAGATAGATATAGATATTCGTTTTTGTAGATTTTCACGGGTACAGGTATGTAGATCTAGGTGTACTCAGGTCTTTTCCCGTGTAAGATTAAGAGTATCTTGGCGATGTTTTGGCAAGGCTGGTGCTTTCGGCTGCTTGCACTGGCACAAACACACCTAGACCTACACACACACACACACACACACACACACACACACACATATATGGATCTTTGGTTATTCAAGTTTTCTCCCGCGTAAAATTGGAAGTATCTAGGCAACGTTTTGATGAAGTCTCATTCATCATCTTCAGGCTTGTGTCTTCAGCTTTGTGCTTCTCAGAGTAATGTGAGCTTGCAGCTGCTTCTTCCTTTTACTTCCAATTTTATGCAGGAGAAAACCCGAATAACCAAAGATCCACATACAAATACCCGTGAGAACCTCAGAAAACATACATATATATATAAATATATACATACATATATAAATATATACAAAACATACATATATATATAAATTTATGTTTTCTGAGGTTCTCGTGGGTATTTGTATGTGGATCTTTGGTTATTCGGGTTTTCTCCCGCGTAAAATTGGAAATATATATATATATATATATATATATATTTGCAATGAGCCTGTAAAAACAAAGGTAGGAAGAAACAGTATATATTCCTGACTGTCCTCGGGGTTAGGATTAGTCTGACATAATGCTAAGAAGAGGTTTATTTTAAAAACATTTCTGAAAGAAGCCCCAATTGCGTGAATAAGCTGACTTTAATTCATTTTATTTACCAGGATGCATCTTGTCCAGTAGATAATTAACTTGAAAGAAATGTGTGAGAAAGTGTGGTCTCTGTGTTCTTTCTTTCAAGCCAGATTAGTAACCTCTCCCCATGTTCTTTTCAATTAGCAAACCTCTCGGGCAAAGCAGAAGGCTACACTTTTGAGATTTTGAATTGAGGGATGGAGGAAGATCCTAATCATTCCATAATTGGAATCTTCAAAAAAGTTATCCCCCTCCCCACAAGCACTAAACTGGTAGACACATTTTTCATGAACTACTGTGCCGTCTATTATTCTGATCATAGCGTGATAAGAAGGAAGTAAGATATTTTCAGGGGTGATCCCATTATTTCCTATGGCTAAAACACTCAAAATATTTCAAGGTGTCTTTCCACAAAATAAGAAACTGGATCAGATTGTGTTCTGGAAAAATACAGACAACTCAAAATGTTGAAACTATTAGTAGGCATATTCCTGTGTAATGTTTAGTTAATCTTAGCACTGGTTATGTTTGATGAGTTGGAACTTAGTACAGAAGCTACTTCTATGATGAGAAGCTACTTCTACTGCTGAAAATGAGTCATCACAATTTTTTTTAAGTTTTAAGTTAAAACTTAAAAAAAATTGTGATGACTCATTTTCAGCAGTGTATCCTTACTGGATTAAAAATCAAGCAGTTTCAGACATCCAGGAGGTAATATTATTAACACGATTTGCTATAATTATCTAAGAACCTGCAATCTTGAGATATACTTCTACATAATAATTTTAGTTTTAATAAGCTAAATACTCGTAATAGCTAGAGACATTCAACAGTATTTTGACAGAGCATCCCAAATTTAACTGCATATAATGTTCCAGAGCATTGCTGTGGGAGAATGACTTGGCCTTCAATTATTCTTAAAACTTGAGATAATATTTCAGATTTCCACCTACAGGGTGAAAAGATGTTGACACAAATAACAGCTGTCCTTCTCCATTATCTGAGAAGCCCAAGGCTAGGAGGTAAAGCCTTAATTATTTTGGTTAATCTCCAAACAAATATCAGTCACAGTACATTCATCAATAAATGGAAAGGTCTGGTTTTCAGTCCAATGTAGTCACTATTCCACACACAAACTTTATTACATCTATATTCTTCAATTATTCATAGCTCCCATTCTATTCTTTCTGAATAAAAACTATATACTTCTTATCTTCCAGTATAAATAAATAATAAACATTAATTACCTCTTTAGGTAAAGATAAAAGTTTATTTCGGTCAACGTTCAATATATTCAGCTTCTTTAGTTTTCCAATGCTCTTTGGCAAAGTCTGAAACAAAACAATGTCAGCAATTAATATTACCAGCATTTCAAAGTAGGTTGTGGAAAGCAAGCAGTGAGCTAATTAATATGCTAAAACTTTTTAAATAGAATGATGTTTAAAGGCCTTGAATTCTAAGATGGCCAAAAACTTTACTAAAAGGAATTCTAACAAAGTAACAATGAATTTCAGATGTCTGAGATTTTAAAAGTACAAAGGATATATGATTAGTATTCTCATCTGTACTGACCTACATCTCAGGATTATTCGTACAATTGCAAAGCCCTCGTGAGTAACTGAGTTAAGAAATATTTATTTTAAAAGAGGGTCACATCTAGTTTGGGGCAATTTCTCACTGTTTCAGAAGCCTCTTATCCTACATGGTGAGGGTCCTCATTTTCCAATTAGTATTTTTGATGTTTCAGAGATCAATAGTGAAGGCTACGTATGCTTTTTCTCCACTCACAGGAGAACAAGAAAAATGAAGGTAATTCACATAATAAGAAAGAGATCTGTGGTTATTTGTACTCATAAAAACACATTATTGCAGATTACATAGTATTGCTATTGTGATTCTTTCCTGCTCTCAAAGTATTTGCTTATTCTGGAACAGTGGCTAGGAAATTAGACTCAAGCTAGAGCAATGTACAGTATAATAGAGAGAGAACAAATTATAGCCTTTATTTTACTATTACATCTTGTTCTAGCACACTGCAAAGCAAACATCTGGTGTTCCATTTTTACTACTCCCATTCTTCACCATTACAGGTTTTAATTCCTTCTTCTTCCCCATTTATTAGACAAATTCTTCCATAACCCTATCCTACAAAGGGGATAAAACTACTTCTTAACTCTATCACTGACCTGGAATCAGCAAAATCTGCTGCAGCAAATGAATAGCCAATTTGCTGATATGATCAGGAAAGATCCATCAATATTAAACAAAAAAAAATTATGGAACATACACAGGGGCAAATGACAATTTGGCAATTGTCAGAAAGACTTCTGATGAATAAGAATGATTAAAAGCCATTCAAGCAAACTCAGAACCCAAAACTGAAACTCAATCTCTATATCCACTACTACTACTTCAAATGAACTATTATAGCTTTATTGTTTCTATTAGAACTGAATTACATTTTTAAAAATAATTTTAAAATATAGAAAAGAATGTTACCATATGTTGAACAAGACAAATGAGCTTATGATATACACACATCATCTGTCCCTTAAACCTCTGTAAATTGGAGAATCCTACGAAATCATTCAGGTTGATTAAATAGCAGTACTGGCATGTAAGAAACCAGGAATGTGAAATTCACTGAGATTGGAATGTTTGATTCCCATTCCAGCTCATACTGTTTGACCACAGCCAGCAAATTACTTCTATCACTGGTTTTTTTTAACATGCTGGATTAATTTTTCTTCAAAACCAATGCTTTTAATACCAGTCAGTTTTTAAGACATATTATCCATTTTAATTAAGGTCTTTCTCATTTCCCTCCAAAATCAGTTGGGACAGATTTTTCCTCTCTGCAGTTATTATTTACTATTCACTTGGTGGGATTTCCTTCTGGGAAAGCTGTTACAAAACTATCAGCCAATCTTTATTATTTAAATTACTAAATATTCATTAAATTTCATAAATTACATTAAGAAGGACTAGAATATTTAAAATTGAGAGAGATTATTGGAGAAAACCAATGTCAGCCCTGGATCCATATTGAACATAATTTAGCATGCCAGCATCTTACTACAGTCTGTACAATCCTCTATTACAGGGGTGGGCAAACTTTTTGGCTCGGGGGCCACATTGACTTTTAAAATTTGACAGACGGGCCGGGTCAGCACAAGATTTTTGGGGAATTGCTCCCCCTCCCCCCCTTCTTCTCCTCCTTCCCCTCCCCTCGGAGGCCCCCTGAGTCAGGAGTTGCTATCGCCAGCACAGCTCCACACGGCTCCAGTCCCACATTGCCTCAGGAAGAGAAAGGCAAAAAGGAAGAGGCGCGGTGGTGCTTTGCAACGGCAGCAGTGGCACCGGAGGCTCAGGCTCAGCGGCTCCTGGTTTTGCCTTTCCCTTCCCAAGGCAACGCAGGACTGGAGCCGCGTAGAGCTGCGCCTGCGGTAGCAACTCCTGACAGCCCCAGCCAGACACCTGAGCGGAGCCTGGGTGGAGGGAAAGCAGTGGGCGTTCCCTGGGCGGCGACCTCAGCCACGCCACCAGGGAAGCGGCTGCCCAGCTCCATGTTGTGTGTGCAATTTTATGGTGAGCGGCGCGGGGTCTCTTTTGGCCAGCCCCCATTTTTTTTTCAGAGGGGAATTTTTTTTTTCAGAGGCGGGGCATATTAAAATGACCAACGGGCTGGATGTGGCCCGCGGGCCATAGTTTGCCCACCCCTGCTCTATTAGGTCTTATACTTAGTTATCACATTTTCCATAAATTTGATTTATCCTCTACAACACTAATCTTTGCTGGATAATTTGTTATGACAACCAAATTCAAGTAAAACCTGTTTTGAAATGGATTTCATGCTTGTTTGTCTGGCTCATTCACTGCTCAGCTGACATTTTGGTCGACTATAACTTCATGGTATTCAACACTGTGCTTAAAATGCATCTTGACAAATTACAGTTCATTTATTTTGTACTTCATTGTAATTGTCATAAGGTCTTAAAATAAAGATTCTGCAGTCAAAATAAATCAAGCATGCCATTCTCACTCAATGCCAACATTTGAAGAGCTAACAACATACTTACCAGCAGCTGATTTTCTGTAAGAACTAATTCTGTAAGACATTCACAGTTTCCTACAGCTTCTGTTAACTGAGTAAGCCTATTCTGGTCAACCTTCAAGATGGATAGCTTTTTTAACTTTCCTGTGGACACAAAAATGAGCCTTTTAAAAAGCTGTAGACAAAACAGAACTAGTGACCCTAACTGCAGCAAATATCAACTATTTAAAGAGACAACAATCTTAACTAATTCTCCAAAATATTCAGATATCCTTAAAAAACTGAGTTTTTAAAAAAACATTTTACCTAGTAAATTTGACTATCTTTCAAAAGATAACCTATCAAATAGATTTTTACAATTTAAAAAATCAACAAAGTTTCTATGGATTTTAAAGTTTTTCTAGGCCACTGGTCATCCTGGTTGGAAATTGTAGAAACTGTAACCAAATATTGTTCAAAAAGCATAAGCTTATGAAAAGCCAGCCCAATGAGTATTTTTAGCTGAAAGATTAAAAACAGAAGTGATTATTTGAGACATTATACCCATACCCTTTGTTCATCTTGGTGAAAGGCTTCTGATAAAGCTTTGAGGTAGATGTAGTACGAAAACTGTAGCCCTTCAAGGCAAATCTGGCTAGGAAACCATTGCCATATGGGTCAGTATTACTTTTATGAAAAGCAACGTAGTCCGAATGTATTTCCCTCTTCTCTCCCTTTTATTTTCATGAGAACTAGAAAGGGTTTAGTCTGAGATGTTTACTCAAGTTACATTCCTGTCCTGGATTCAGTCCTCTTTTATCTGATCATTGTCTTCCTCATGTCCCTCCAGGCTAATCCCTTTGCCCTCTACAGACAATAACTACTTTCCTCAAGGAGCCTCACCTGCTGTTCTCTTTGGGTTATTTTAGACACCAGTCAAAAATAAGGTTACTCAGTTCAGCTTTTAAACTTGATATGTGCCTTCTCTGTTGGTTGGGCAAAGGGCAACATATGGACATCCAGATGCTGTTTGAGCAGAATTCCTACCATCTTTCAACATTGATTCTGCTGGCTAGATTGATGGGAAGGTTCAACATCTGGGAAGAACCTCTGAGAAGGTAGCCCCTGTCTACCATAAAAGCAGAAGCATGCTCTAACAAGTGAGTAACAGAAGTACATTTCTGACAGAAAAGCAAGGAAGGCATCCTTAAGCAAGTAATCTATGGCTACTTAAGAGGAGAAATTTCAGGAGCACACTGCAAAAGATGTCAAAAACGATCATAAATACCAAAGGACTGCTCAACTTTAGCTACCAATAAGTATTCAACAATTCAACATTCAAAAGCAATATTCACAAAATGTTATGTTTTGCACATTTTATCACTGATCCATGTACAGTTCTAAAGAAGAATGTGTTTCCAGGAGCAACAGTGAGAGCACCAAATGAGAACTTCAGATAAAAACTCTTTGCCTCTCTCGGGTTTTAGTATGACCAAAATAGTATGAAGGCCACATTACCTTCTTGAGAGGAAGGGTGGGATCAAAACATGAAATACAAAAAGAATTAGGATCTGAGTACTTATGGGCAGTGACTCCCCAGATAGTTGCAAGCAAAGTGGGAGAAGGTGGAAATAATTAGAGGTTTGCTTACACACAAAACTGGAGCCTGTGAGAACTTTACCTAAGCCTGAATTCTTTTTAACCATCTTCCTCTTATTCTAGAACCTGCTGCTGGATTCTGTGGGCAAGCTTGGAGAAGGGCGATGCCAACAAATCAGAGCAAGGAAACTCCGTAGAACTAAGCAACCAGGAATTATCCTTCTTGCCCGTTGCCCACAAGCTTCTCAAAGCCAAGGGGAGTTTCAGCTGGCAGGGACATCTGCTCTTCTGTTTAGCCTGACTCACTGCCTGGAGTCACACCTGTTGCAAAGACCACCCTAAGGTATTGGATTAATGTTTCCCAGGGCACGGGCCTATCTGGAGCAAGAACCCAGAAGAACATAGATTACAAAAGGCTACACTGCACAGCTCAAAAGAGTGACCTTCATCCTCATAAGGTTGGTCCATGTGGATAGAGCAATCCACAACTGCTCTAACCAGCTAGCCCTTGCTGGGCCAGCAGCCCCGAAAATCAGGGGGCAGAACATATTTAGAAAGGAGGATACCTCCCAGGCCTCCCTCCCTATTCAGCAAAATAGGGGTGTACTCATATAGGCAGACTATCATGAGTCTAGGGTGGATGTTGGGCCAATAGACAACAGCCATATTTAACTATGAGCAGCAGCAAATGGGGACTGCTGATTCATTTTCCTTCATCCCAATTTTGCAGAGAGGAGTCACAAGCCAAATACTTTTGGCTGCAGTTTCATATCCTGAGGTCAAGTACGGCTCTTTTGGAGTCTACACAGTGTACAACATGAACAAAGTCTTTCACTCTGCCAATCAGCAGGACAGGTAATTCTTGACTTATGACCACAATTGGGACTGGAATCCCATCGTAAGTTGTTGTGATCATGAGTCAGATCCTTTTTTAAAACATTTTTATTGCAATCGTTAAGCAAATCACCATACTCGTAAAGCGAATCCAGTTTCCCAATAGGCATTTTTGCTGGAAATCAACACCAAAAATTGCAAATCATGATTACATGAGTCAGGATGCTGAATCTGTCATAAATGCAAGCTGACCACTAAGCTCCTGAATTGAGATCATGTGACTGCGCGGGGTAGTGGTGATGGCCATAAGTGCAAGGATGGATCGTAAGTTGTTTTTTTCTGAGGCTGTTTTAACTTTGAATTATTAAACAAACGGCTGTAAGTCAAGAACTACCTGTCTAGAGGAAATTCACCTGCTGAGCTGGCTGGAAACATAAATAATGACTTGGGATGCAAAAGAATAGAGCCACCAGATTTTGCACTTCCTTGCAATAAGCTACTTCTCAGACATTTTCCTCTTCTGCAGCTGTAGCTGACACCACATCACACTGGGAAATCTCCTCATTCCATCATTGGACTCACTTCTTTTTACTCCCAGACCAAATATGGATTAATCTGATTCTGATTCTTCCTTGATGAAACCAACAAGTATGAAAATTGGTGGCATTTTTCAGGAAGAACTGGTCAGATGACTGGTTTCAGAGTGCCATCAGAGCTGAATGGAAGCTTGTAATCATGTTCCCTTCCCTGAGGTCAAGGGTAATGTAAGCAGTTTTGATGGCGGAATATGCAAGGTATACTTTTGGACAGACACTAACAATCACAGGTTTGAAAATAGGGGCAGACTGACCTTGAAGAAAAGGAGTTGGTTAGCAAGGCATGACAGATGCAGGATGGCGGCTGCAGTCCAACAGCCCTATTTATATACTGTGTGACTCTATTGTGTCTCCTGCCTTCCAAAGGTTGAGGCATACCAATGGCTACAAAGACATTCACTTAAGAACAGAGATGGCCCAGAGCCAGGGTAATAGTAAAGGGTTAAGGTACAGGGTGAGGAACCCACACAGTGATAAGTCAATAATGGCCATCTCACTACTATCAAGAAGAAGCTCATTTTTTGTTTTGTTTTTTAGTTGTGGGGAAATCAGAAAAATTCATTTATCATTTTAGGGGGACAGAACATTCACAAAATTTGAGAACTCCCAGGTAAGGATAATAAGAGCTAAAGGACAACCTCTGAGGATATGAAGCTAGTAAGGCAATTGTACTAGACCCTTTTTAGTTCTTTATTAAAATAATCTGATGCTGGAAATGGGTATGGATAAGAGGGAATATTTTATGTCATTCTACCAAAATACAAGCTTCCTGCTGAAGACAAAATCATGTGTCTTCTTTTTGCAGGTGATCCAATTCAATGTTAAAAATTAGGGGAAGTTTGCATGGGAGTATTTAATTTACCTTTGCTTTATTGTGTAATTTATTTACACAAGCCTTGATGGGTTTGTTATTTTCTTTATTCCTGTTTTACTAACTTCCTGTAGGAAAGTACTTTGTATTTCTCATGAATTGCTGTGTCAGACCTGCAACCAATGCAGTTGCTGCTTGAAATGCATGTATTAATAAATGTAATGCAGTATTTCCATTTGTATAACACAGCAAAATTGCATATATATTTATGCAAAGTTGTATTTGTATAACTGTAGTAGGCAGAAATTGAAATACCATGTATACTTAATAATTTGTATTTACAGCACAAGTGGATGTCACAAGCTATAGTACATTGCTACAGCTGTGCAGGAATACGGTATATAAATAGTGTGGTGGTTCGCAACTGCTCAGCTAGAAAAAGAAATAAGTCTCAAAGTAAAATTCTCTGTCTGTAAACATCAATAAGCTATCTGGAATCAAAGGAGTAAAATTGGAAAAATTGGTTTTAAGCTTTTAGAATGATTCACACAGATGAAAGTTACACTGTCATTTGGCTGGAATGTATATAACATGCAATCCATGGAAACAACAAATAGTGGTGAGTAGGTGCATATTTATAGTATTCTGCAGAAAAATAACTATCAAGGGAACAATAGCATCAAGAGAATGTGTTGGGAAGTACCATTTGAGAAAAATCAAACACCACAGTTCTAGGATAAAATATTTGTGTCGATTACCTCATTATTTATTTTTGCTTTTAGTTGTAAGACACTTTACAGAGTTCCACTGTGGGAGTGAAAAGCATAATGCACCAAATGCCAGATCTAAGCCCAAACAGAACTTTCTCTGCAAGATTTCTAAAGAAATAAATAGGAAATATAAGAAACCTGCAATAGAACTGGCATGAATTAAGATAAGCTTATTGAAAACTATACATCTAGGATCCTGGAGTTGCCCCAATACATTAAGACTGCAACTCTTAGAATGTCTGTGAATTTTTATGGAATATCCAAAAGGATTGTTTCATTTCTACAGAGGAGACAGATTTGTGGACAGTGCAATGGAAGTTAGTGTTTCCATATGTACATTTCCATGTGTATGGAAATCTCAGTAGAATGCTGCAGTCAGTGGCTTCATCACAAAAATATATCCAAACAAACCTAAGAACATTAATAAATGTTGTAGTGTAGGTAAAACATTGATCTCCTGCACCGAAGGATATTATGTATTATTTCTGACAGATAATCATATCTGTACGGGTGATTCTTGCATTCACAGAATCATCTGATTTTTACAGTCACCAATCACTGAGAAGTATGTATACCAATAAAAATGCAAGTATTCCCATTACCTTCAAAGTAAACATTTGAAGATCAAATCTAAGTCTATGTATATTGATGCCATCCATCAATATATCATATTCATGGGTACTATACCCAGAAAGAAAAAAGGACAAACTAAGGTGGCAGGTTTTTTTAATGCTGTGAATAACTCAGAGAGCCAGGTGGAACCTAACTTATTCATGCATTTCAAGTTATACCCTCAGCAATGGGTAATATATTTCAGCTAATCGCAGCATGTAACCAGTTTCAGTAAAACTGCTGATTAGCTGCTTGTATGTCATATCATCAAGAGTAGGAAAACAAGCAACCAGGATGTTTAGCAAGTGGGAGGGAAAATAAGGATAAAGAGGAAGAGATTTGAGCAGTATAGACAGAATAAAACAATCAAAATAATGTGTTCAGTATGTATATAGAGCTGTTTCTGTTGGAAAAATCACATGTCAGCAATCTCTTCTTTAATTATTATTATTAATATACATATACAGTTCACTGCTACTCAGTGAATCTTAGATTCAACACATTAAGACAGGGCAATTAAGTATCTTTAACTCTGGTTGACATTTTGAAATAACATCAATATTTCTTTATACAAATAATGACCATCTATAAATATTCATTTGAGAAAATGCCGAAAATGTGCTTGATTACTCTGTGGTATGCCAGCATAAAAATGAAATGAATTGCTAAAATGTGGGATTCAATAATAATGAAGAGCATACCTCTGTTTGTGTGTGTGAGGGGGGGGGAGAAGGGGAGAGGGAGAGAGAGTGGGGGAGAGAAGGCCTGTATAAAACACTTAAAAAGACATTTTGCAGTGAGTGTTAAGGTGAATAAAGAACCTCACATGAAACAGCCATGGTACTAGCAAAGCTCAGAAAATTGCTCAGAAAGCTGCCTCCAGATGTTTCAGTTTGTGTGTGTATGCACAGAACCTATTTTCCTGAGACCACCATTGAAGCAATGTGGCAGTGTGTACACATAGAGGCAGCAAAAGCGTTTTGAGCACTCCGCTCTTGCCAATGATACTGTTATTTCAACCGTTAAACTTAAGAGGTGCTTCCTGGGTGCCAAAATGAGCTGCAAAGCCTGTGTTTCAAATGCCTTCTATAATACACAGAAGCCCTAATAATACCATGTTTCTCATATAATAAGGCTGGGTCTTATTTTTTTTTGATCCCCGAAAAAATGGCTAGGCCGTCTTTTCGGGGGTGACTTAATTCCACCCCTTGCATCTTCAGGCGCGCGGGCGGCGACAGCTTGGATGTTGACCTCGGCGTTGGTGGGGCACTTCGTATCGGGGTTAACACAGGCAGCACCATATCCAGGTGTGCAACAAAAGTACTTCCTAAAGGCAAGCCCCCCACCATCCCCCACCATTTCCCATGTTTTGATATAGGCCTTAATTTGGGGGAAGAGGCTTAATTTCATTTCATGCCTATAAAACATGCTGGGACTTCCTATTGGGGGAGGCCATATTATTGGAGAAACAGGGTATATATGTCATCTGGAGAGTAGGTATAAGACTGATATAATAAGCAGATTTAAGATCACACTGTGGAGGGGGGGAAGCCTGAAGAAGGTATATGGGCGGAACCAGACATCATTGCAAAGGTCAGGTTGTCTCATGTCAATATCTTCCACTTTGTAAATGTGCAATGCAATCTAGCTCCATGATATATCATCATCATACTGAACATTTTTCACCCTTGCCCTTGGCAAGCCATAATGTGTTGAAACAGTGCAATTAACATCTGTAGGCAAATGAAATCATATTGCAAAGTGGCATGTAGCTGCTTTCAGATTCATGTTTTAATTATGGCTTCATTCAGGTATAACACCAAATGTGTGTGAGCTTCAGCCTCATGTTCTTTTTTCACTGGCCATAAAATGACCCCAGACAAACCAGTATGAACTTGGGATTATTTCCATCAATTACACCTTAGATTAACTGTAATATATTGTGTTCAGACCCAACTGCCAAATTGTGATCATAAACAGAGGAAAAACTTCTGACAGACAAACGCATACATAACTACTGTACTGAGACTTTAATAAGCCAATTCACAATTAAATCATGATCTAATAGAGGAATAGCAGTCCCCGAACCCTAAAGGAGACTCCAATGATGCATAAAACAATCCAGGATCATAGGCTACCCACTGATGCCTCAATGTTATGTACAAATACAGCTAATATTTGCCCTTATTTGCACAAGCATCAAAAAAACAAAACATATTCCTAACAAAAACAGTAATAATGCACATTAGACAACATGCATTTGGTGTCAATCAACTTCTTATTTGGATTAAATATTCTAATGTTTATTGTTTAAAAGAAAAGATTTCACGCACCTACACCATCTGGTAACATTTCAAGGATATTCTGAGAGATGAGGAGGTCAGTTAAAGAGGTCAGGCCATTTATCTCTTCAGGTAGCTTTTCCAGTTTGTTTTCAGAGATATCCAGACACAGCAGGTTTTTCAGGTTTCCTATTTCCTACAAAACAAAAAACAAAGTCATGCCTCAACGTGCAAATGCCCAGAGAACTGACATATGTCCAATTACAACATTCCTAAGGACAAGACTACAAATCCTCCCTGCTGGATGATAACACACTTGTGATGATATCACAAGTAAATCACCAGTAAAATCTGTATGTGCGACACTTAGCATGGGCCAACTATCTGTTAGTATAATTTTGGACTTTAAGAGTACATTAAACCCACACCCAACTCTTAGTCCTGGCTCAAGGTTCAACAGTTCAACCTAAAAAGGTGCTTTCATAAACAACACTTTGCCAAAGAAAGAACCAGCATAATGTCCTTGACCCAAAACAACTTTGTCAGCTTCAAAATGGAGACACAGATAATGAAGATGAAGAGGTACTAACATACTGAGAATAAATGTGTAATGAAAAAAAAACTTTTTCTAAAATAACAGCATACTAAGTTTTAAATGCTTATATTTCAATAAGCAGGTGAGTTTAGTTGCAAAGATCCAGGAAGTATCTGTTCTTACCTGAGGTATTTCCACCAACTGGTTTCCATCTAACCAGAGGTCTTTAAGGTTAAAAAGTGCACCTATAGTTCCTGGCTGTAATATATAAAAGATAGGATGCCACAATAACCATTAAACAATATAGTACAATAACCCATAAAGAAATCCAACTTCATTTTATTTCACCCAAAATAGCCAGGTTTTTTTTTCTGCAAATAAATAAAGTTAAGCAAAAAAAAAAGAAAAGAACATTGCCGTTCCCTGTTAGCTATCCCCTCTGTCATTATTAGATTAGGGACAGGTAATGTGATGCCTTTTGGAATACTGAGTGACACTCCTAACTGTTAGCCTAATTAATCTAAGGTAGTCAATTGTACAAATCCTTCCATAGCTTCACATCTACTGTGGCTTCATTCAATCAGAAAAGTCAGCTATTTCCCATAACTACCACATATTTAGCCCAAACTATGGAAAGAATCCTTGTCCTTTTTATCAAACAGTAAGATAATTTAAGCAGGATATTAAGGAAAGAGACCCTTTGCAAAGAAAAGGGATTCAAAGCTTATTTGGAAGACCTAAAGGAGGTTAAGGAGGCACCTATTCCCAGTAATGAAGAAGCCACAATGGAAGAAGAAAGCACTGTTCATTGTCCATGATATGGACACAATTAATGAGACAACTTTAAAAAGAATGGGAGACAGAATGGGATAAACACACCTTGGAAGTAACTAAAGACATAGCAGATATATCTGAGCAAACGAATAAACAATTTATGGAAATGTCACAGCAAGTAGCAGATGTACTTAAGTAATCAACAAAGCATATGATATGGCTACAAGTAATCTAGAGATAAGCAAGGCTTAAAATAGTATTTCTGAAATAAAGACTGAATTAGCAGATTTACAGGAGGCATAATTTAAGGATCAAAGGAGTATCAAAGAAAACTGGAGCAACCCATTTGGCTGCTTATCTCATTTCTAAAATTAATGACCTGATCTCTGACTTGAACCTAAGGGATAAAGCTACTGAATGTGCTCATTGGGTTTATTCTCTTGGGAACACACAAAAACCTAGAGACATTTTGGTCATACTTGTAAATTTAACATAGAAGATAAAATTATAAGAAAATCACATGAACTGGGGGAGATTAAAAGGGACAACGAGAAAGCATCCTTCTTCCAAGACATTGATAGCAGTACAATGCAGTGAAGAAAGGAATTTAAACCACTGATAGAAAAAAAGTATGCAGGACAAGTTTCATTATGAGTTGGGGATTTCCTTTTAATTATTTTAAAGTCATAAAGAAGAAAAGTTATTTATTTTTATTGATGATGCTATAATCATGCAGAAAATTATATACATGGAAAAAAACCATCAAAATACTATCTTTGAAGTCTTATAAAAATTTCTTTTTACAGATTCTATATTGATACAATATTTTATATTGACTGATCATGCAAATTATAAAGATTATATGTAAACACTGTTGACTTAAAAAATCCATCATAACTTTCACATTAACTATAGCTAATTCTCTTCCTGACAATGAACTGTTCTCAGATTCACACACAAACAAAGCCTTCAGTACAAGAAGATTACACATAGATCATACATGTCTGCAGAGGAACATAATATTTTCTCTATGCAATTTTAAATAAAATAAAATCCATATACACAAACGTGCATATACACTTTTTAAAATACAAGAATTATGGCTAGGTGTAAACAGCTTAATTTTTAAAAAGTACCATTGTTGGATTTTTTAAAATTGTTTTGCTAGGGTCTCTTGAGAATTATGCCTACACTGTTCCTGCAACCTAAGAAAAAAATATGCTTTTATTTCAAATGTTTGCAGGAACCATAATGATTTGGGAAAACTGCAGATGTGGAGAAAGAGTTGGGTATCGTTTGTTTTTATCTTTTCAGTTCTTTTAATTTTCAAATCTACAGAGTAAATTGAACTACTGTCATTAGGAACCTAACCTCAGAATATATTTAGTTGTTGGGCACATTTTGTGGATATTAAGCAACAGCCTCTATTCTTTTTCATTCTTTTACAGGTTGATTTCCAGAGGTACAGTGGTGGGAGGGAATGGGAAAGCTAAAATATTTCTTGCCTAGATTTTTTAAAAAATTAATCTCCTCCTTGGGCATTTCTTTTTTAAAATGTTAATTTATAAGGATTTATTTATAGCACTACTCATTAACCAGCTTGAAACCCTGTCTTGGAGGATAGGCAAGTTACATAGCAATATTAGTTGCTTGTATACATTGAATTGTAAAATATTTGTATTTGCTTTTTTTTTTAAGATGGCCTAACCTATACTGTGCTGTGCCAAGGTTAGGTAAAAATCTAAGTCAATGGCAGCACTCTCTCAGACTAAATGGCACCAAAACTATAAGAATAAGAACCTAGAGAGAAATCGCTTAAAAGGTAAAATTTCATTTGAGTCAAACTTGACTCTTTGTGACTTCATGAATATGAAGTCTGTATAATATGACTGTATAATTTTCTTGGCAGCAATGCAGAAGCAGTTTACCACTGCATTCTTCCAGGATGTTTTCTTATTTCCTGGTCTAGTCTACAACTCTGATAATACCCCAGAGGCTCTTTCAAATATTAACCACGCCTGACCCTGTTTAGTATCCGTAAATATTTGCAGGAGGAATTTTTCTTGTACACACTTCCTTTTCTCTTACCACTGAAGGTAAAAAGGAGTAAAAACTCCCAAGCGCAAGTGGTTTAATGTTGATTTTAAAGTGAAGTATCACATATGATACACCCAGCAATCTTGGCTGATCTAGACTAGAAAGTAAAAAAAAAGTCAATCAAAACAACTTCCATAACATTGCCAAAAAACCAACCCTCTATAGTTACTTCTAGGTATAGTTGTGACCAGAAACCAAAGAACAAGTCAAAGGAACTTTTTGCAAGTGTTCAGAAACAGAAAAAGTGGAAATAGAGTATTGGGCAACAAAAATTCAATAAATATGGGAAGGGCATTTTCAAAAGTGTAACAGTAGTCCTCAACTTATAACCAATAGTTTAATGACTGTTCGAAGTTAAAACAGCACTGAAAAAATGTGACTTAGACTGTTTTTGTCACTTATAATCACTGTAGCATCCCCATAGTCACGGGATCAAAATTTGGACACTAGGCAGCTGACTCATATTTATGACGGTTGCAGTGTCCTAGGCTCATGTGATCACCTTTTGTGATTTTTTTGACAAGCAAAGTCAGTGGGGAAACCAGATTCACTTAACAACTGTGTTACTAACTTAACTGCAGTGATTCACTTAACAATTCTGCCAAGATAGATCATAAAATGGGGCAAAACTCACTTAACAACTGTCTTACTTAGCAACAGAAATTTTGAACTCGATTGTGGTCGTAAGTTGAGGACTATCTGTCCTGAGTTGGTCTTCCAATATTCAATTTAACAAACCAGCAACAATGACCTTTTCTTCAACTCTCCTAGTTTTGTTGGTGAAATAAGCAAAACCTCTTTTATTGTGCAATTGTAGAACAAGAACTCACCAGCACAAACAGGTTTCTGGAATTGTTTTGAGTATGAACTGAAATGACAATGGAAGCATACATGGGTACAGGAATGCTTCCTGCTGCACTCACATTGTAAGTATGGAGACATTTTTTTTCATTCACACCAGTGTGAATTACCAGTGTGGAGAAGCATCTCACTACTATTCCTGCGTTGGGCTGAACATGGAAATTTATTGCCTGAACAAGAACAAAGGGCTTCATAAAGAAGAAACTATATAAAAAACATTTACGAGAATGGCTATTTTAGTAAAATACATGAACCATTATACCTCCAGAGTTTCTACATAGTTGGGTCAATTACACCCTATCTGTATAACAAGTTTCAAAAACAGTATAGGCAATGTTAATTGCACATTCTTTCAAATTGGGTTTATCTTTTTTTTATTTTCCAAAGAAAATAAAGAATCATACATATGAGGGGAAAAATACGTAAAAGAATTTCCCCCCCAAATGCTCCAGAGTATAATTTTAAAGCAACAAGTGCAACTGGATGCATGCTTTGAGAATGCCAACCATAGAATGGTGGAGGAAGAGGAGGAGGAGGAGGAGGGGAGGGAAGGGAAAAGGAGGAAGAAGAGGAAAAGGAAGATGGGGAGGGGGAGGGGACGGGAGGGAAGAGAAGAGAAGAGAAGAGAAGAGAAGAGAAGAGAAGAGAAGAGAAGAGAAG